AGGGGCGCACCGCCGTGGGCACGCGAGAGAACAGAGGCAGGGGCGGGAGGAGGGAGGAGGGGGGGGGAAGGAGGAGGGAGGACGCGGGGCGCTGCCTCTCCAACGCGAGGACCCAACACCACAGGATGGCTAGAAAAAAAACACGCGGCTTCGCAACAGGAAGTTTCAAAAACAGCTTGCGCTCGGGCGACTGCCAAGTCTTGAGAAAACCATTGGCTTCTCCACTTTTACAATTCTATACTACCGGGCGACTCCCCACTTTTACAATTCTAGACTTTTACACATTCTAGACCGACACCCACCCGACGCCCCAGTGGACAGCCGACCGCCACTCTCTCTGCAGACGTACTGACCTTGACCCCAGGGGTCCGCTGGGGCTTGCCACCGGCTCTCAAAGTGAAGTGGGGCCTGTTAGGCCATCCCGGAACGCGTTTCGCGATTATCGTTATCCGTACATTGGGGCCCGTTAGGCGTTATCCGTTATCCGTTATCCGTTATCCGTATCCGTATTATCGTTATCCGTTATCCGTTATCGTTATCCGTTATCGTTATCCGTTATCCGTATTATCGTTATCCGTTATTTCGTTATTATCGTTATCCGTTATCCGGAACGTGTTTCGCTATTATCGTTATCGTTATCCGTTGAATCAGAACGTCACTCACATCGTGGGCTGGGGTCACTCGCCCTCCCTGGCTCGACCTCCGACGTGTGTTTGACAGGAACTTGGCGCTGGGCCCCGACACCGGCACTCGCCCATAGTTCCCTGGTCGGGAGCCTTGAGACGGGGGTCAATGCAAACGGGGGTCAGCCAGAGCGCCCGATCCTGCAGGATCCTGCACGGCCAGGTTCGCATTGACCCGGGTTTGGGTGCAGGATTCTGCAGGATCCCTCGCATTGACCCGGGTTTGGGTGCAGGATCTTCCAGGGTTTTGCAGGATCTTGTAAGGCCCGGCTGACCCGGGTCTGCATCGACCCTGGTCAGCGGATCCCCGACTTGGGCCTGACGCTCGCAGCATCAGCTGCAGCCGCAGCCCGACTTGCAGGCAGTGCTCCCTCTCTGGGACCATCCCCTGCCCAACCCCCGTCGCTCCGTCCCTCTGGGAGCGGGCCCTGGGTCTGCTGATTTTGGTGACTCGAGGGACACTACGTGGCTGTGGCCCACTTGTCTCTCCTTCGTCTCACTCCTGGCGTGCCACTGCATTCCCACGGTGGCCGCCTGCCGTGCAGGCAGAGTTCCGTCCCTGGTGCCTCTCCTGCCCAGCCCCCACCGCTCCCCCTCCTTGGGGCTTAAGCTGTGGGTCTCGCTGGCAATACTGACTTGTGGGCAGCTGCTGGGGCAGCAGTCCACCTGTCCAATACCGGCCTTCGGCCTGCTGTAGCTGTTCTCACCCCTGGGGCGCGTGTCCCGCGCCACCGGGCGGCCCACAGGATCGGGGCGCCCCCCCCCCCCTTCGGTGCCTGGCTTCGGCCCCTTGCCGGGTGGCGGCTGTTCTGTCTCCGCTCGGCCTCGTTCATTCCGCGCAACTCACGGTTCATCTTGGGCCCCGTCGGGTGGTGGTGCCATCCCCCCACCGCTCCGGCTTCGGCCTTTCCGCTCAAATCGCGGTTCCTCATCCTGGGCTAGTCGCCGTCCTGGCTTCGGCTGGTCTAGCATTCCGAGCGTGCGGATGGTCCTTGTTCGGCTTCTGCTCATTGGATGTACTCGTACGCTCGTTTTCCCTGGTGTCAGCCCTCTGCGTTGTGCCTCGTCGGGCCCGTGCTGGGTCAACCTGACACCCTTTCTCGCACAGGGACGTGGTGACCCGCGCCATTTTGGCTTGCGCCGCGGCTATGCTGCTTCCCCGCACTCGTGCGTGCTGTTGCCAGGGGTCCCTCGGCTTCCGCCACCCTGGGAGCTGCAGCCTGCCAGCGCTCTCGCCTCTGGCAACAATTGTTTGGCCGACGGTCCTTTGGACCACCCTGGTTTTCGCGCTTCGCGCCGTCTGGGGCCTCGCCTTTGCATTTCTTTTTCCTACCTCGACCCACAGTTCGTTGGCCACGGCCACCCTGGTGCCCATGCAGTCGTCTGAGGTACGGTATCACGTTTTCTCCATCGGAGTTGTCCCTGGCCGTCGTTGACTTTCCGACGTTTGGCGCCTCCGACGGACTTGCAGCTGTGCGCGCTGGCAGTTCCCCTCAGTCTCAGTCCCGACAGCCCACCATCTGAGGCCTCGGCCGCGCTTAGTTGTCGCCTCGCGCGTCGCTCTGTTTGTTTTTTCCCGCGCTTCCTTTGCCTAATCCGTCTCTGCGTAGCCCGTTTTGACCTGACACGCCGCCGGCGCGCTCGCCCGCGGCCGCTGACTAAAAAGTACCCCCACCAGGTTTGACACGCCGCTGTTGCGCTCTCGCTCGCGGCTGCCGACACAAAAAAGTATCCCCACCAGCCCATCCAGAAGCGATGTGCAGGCGAGTTGAGGTGATCAGGGAAGTGCGGCAGCAAAGAGGGGGACGGCCGAACCGTGCAAAGGAGTGAGCAGGAGAAGGAGGAGGTGGATGGATGGATGGATGAGGGAGTGGGAAGAAGGAGGATGAATAGGATGAGGAGGAGGCCGATGAGGAGGAGGAGGAGGAGGAGGAAGAGAAGGAGCAGGAAGAGGAAGGAAGAACAGGAGGAGGAGGAGGGCAAGCACAAGGGCCAGAGGTCTCTGGGATGCCTCTCGGAGCCTCTTGGGGTATCTCTTGGGCGATTATTGGTGGCCTGTTGGGGCGTCTTGGGGGTCTCTTCGCGATCCTGGGGGGTTTCCTCGCCGAGGCCGTTTTGGGCGCCCTGGCACTTCGCACCCCCCCCGTCCAAGTCCAGGGGGGGGGGTAGGGGGAGGGGTAAACTCTCCCCGAAAAGGAAGAAGGAGGGGTGGAAGAGGAAACGCTCTAAACCACCGACGCCCGGAGGGCTGGTGGGATTATGCAATGAGCCCGCCGCAGGTGCCGATCTCTTCGTTAAAGCAATGTGGGTGGGTCGCGGGTGGGCCGCGGGCCAGGTCGCGGATGGGTCGCGGGTGGGTCGCGTATGGGTCGTGGGTGGGTCGCGAGTGGGTCGCGGGGTGGGTGCGGGTGGGTCCGCGGGGTGGGTCGCGGGGTGGGTCGCGGGGTGGGTCGCGGGTGCGGTCGCGGGGTGTGGCGGGTGGGTCGCGGGTGGGTCGCGGTGGGTCGCGGGTGGGTCGCGGGGCGGTGGGTGCGGGTCGCGGGGTGGGTCGCGGGTGGGTCGCGGGGGGTCGCGGGTGGGTCGCGGGGTGGGTCGCGGGTGGGTCGCGGGGTGGGTCCGCGGGCGGGTCGGGGGAGGACGACGACGACGACGACGACGACGACGACGACGACGACGACGACGACGACGACGACGAAACGACGACGACGACGACGACGACGACGACAGCGACGGCGACGGCGACGGCGACGGCGACGGCGACGGCGACGGCGACGGCGACGGCGACGACGACGACGACGACGACGACGACGGCGACGGCGACGGCGACGGCGACGGCGACGGCGACGGCGACGGCGACGGCGACGGCGACGGCGAAGGCGACGGCGACGGCGACGGCGACGACGACGACGACGACGACGACGACGACGACGACGACGACGACGACGACGACGACGGCGGCGGCGGCGGCGGCGGCGGCGGCGACGGCGACGGCGACGGCGACGACGACGACAACAACATCAAGCAACATTCTCTCCGCGGATCCCCATGTAACAGCGCACCCGGGAACAAAGAATGAGCGTTCGGCCCCGTCTTTCTGATTATAGTTGTTTTGTCGTCGTTGCCATAAGCATCCATCATCTGGAACGTCATCATCGTCGTGATAAGACATTTGGATGTGCGCGCCCCCCCCCCCTCCGCACAGGTGAACATGAAGGCGCTGATGGGCTCTGGAGAAGGCGGCAGCTGGAACCCCCGAGATGAGGAGAGAGGAGGGGACAAGCTAGGTGCGCTCGCGCCACATCTGACATCATATTCCTTCCTCCTACCCCTGCCCATTGCGCTGATGTGTTCTCTGTCCGCGGACGCGTGTCATAGCCGACCTGGACCTCCATTACCCCAGCAACGCACCCTGACAGCAGCAAAGGTGACCTGTGGGACCTGTGGGGCATGTGGGAACTGAGGGACTTGTGCGGTCTGTGGGACCTGTAGAACGGGACTTCTGTGGCCTGTGGGACATGTGGGACCCGTGATGCAGGTTGGAACTGTGGACCTGTGCGACCTGGGGGACTTTTGTGGCCTGCGGGGCTTGTGAGACCTGCGGCACCTGTGGGAAGTGTCGAGGAGGAGGAGGAGGAGAAGGAGGAGTTGGAGGAGAAGGAGGAGGAGGAGGAGGAGGAGGAGGAGGAGGAGGAGGAGGAGGAGGAGGAAGGGGAGTCCCCGCCAGCTCGCGCCGCCGTCCCTGGACGCCACCCGGATGGCCCCCGTCGGGCGCCCCTGGGGAATGGCAGAGCGGCGCTGCCTCCCAGGACCTGCAAGGGCGTCCCCTGAACGGGGCCAGGACGAGGGTTGGTCCGTTCTGGAGCTTTGCAGCACGCTCTCAGAGCGTTCGGGAACGCTCCGAGGAGGCCGCGGCCCCCGAGGCATCCCCGAGAGCCGCCAGATCCCAGAGGTTCTCGATGTGTCCTCGTCCAAATTTCTCCTCGTCCTGGCCTCGTCGTCCGCCAGGGCGTCTGGTTCCGTCGGCGTCCGCGGGCCGCGGACCGCGCGTGGAACTGAACATTGAAATTGGGGGCGCGGGGGGGGGGCAATCCGTCGGTCATCGAGAGTAGGTATTTCGGGCTACCCAGATCCCAGCCTCCTCTGGCCGCCTTCCGACCTCAAGGGTCCAGCGGTTTCGCCTTGCCCTCCCTCTTCTCGGGGCGGGCGGGAGCCCCATCTGCTTCCGACGCCTTCCCACTTCATGTGTCTGCCTACTCCTTCCGACCGACGGGTGCGTTTCGCGGAGGGTTGCCGGACCTGTCAGGGCGTCCCCCGCGCAGTTGCCCGGGCTCCCGCAGCAAAGCGCCGCGACGGCCGCAGTCCCTCCGCGGCAGGCCGCCATGGCGCTCCGCCGCTCCGCAGCTGCCGCCCTCGGGTTCCTGGCCGCCCGCGCCCTGGCCGGGGCGGCCTCGCCGGACGACCTGCGGCGCGCGAGGACGAAGAGGCCGCGCGACGAGTACCGCGGTGGCGACCAGGCGCACATGAGCAGGGTTCGGAGGCTGACAGAACCCAGGCCTCCCGGGTGGGGCCCGAGCGGGCGGGGCCGCGGGATCGCGCCGCGTCGCCGACGCAGCGACGAGATGGTTCCACGTCGCTGGTGCCGATGCGTCGCCGACGTCGCCGCAGCATCGCCGATGCATCGGCGATGCATTGCCAATACGTCGGCGATGCGGCGCGGTCCTCCGACCCCATGCGCTCGGATACCATCTGGGAGGCCTCTGTAGAGTCCCCACCAGGCCAAGTCTCTGAGCTGGGGCAGTGGGCCTGGCGCAGGTGGGTCGGCGGTGAGAGGCGCAAGCGTGCATCGACTGTGCACCCGCGAGCGCAATAGCACATACGCAGCAATGGCGGGGTGGGGCACGAACTGCTTGCACGGACAGCAGCCGTTGTATGTGGAAACGGGTACAACTGCATCCACGCGCAATCATTGATTCCAGCGCGCAAGCTGGTACGTCCAGGCACCAACTAGTGCAGGTACAGTTGTACCTCCCTGCGGACCCATCTGCGTTAGACCCAGCACTCTGGCTTAAGAAGTCGGTCGGCGATTATCATTGGTTCTTTAGGGCGTAGATGGCTTGTAGGGCGTTTCCTCTTCCATCCCCCTTCTTCCCCTTCGTGGAGGAGTTCATCGCTGCTCCTCATTCATATGCACCCTCTTTCCCACCTGAGCAGGGGCAAACCCGGAAGCATGACACCCCCCACGCCATCATTATCCAACAATGCGAAGCGCACGTTGCGGCAAAATTTGGATCATGCGCGGGTACCGCGCGATCACATTGCATTGCTTCTGGACAGGGAAGAGGGGGGGCGGGCATGTTGCCTGCTGCCCACAGGCCCATCATCCTTGTCAAATCAGTGCTACATACATTTCCCAGCAACGATCATGCGCGGGGGCCCCGCGATAATCATGCCCTGGCACGCTTGGCGCACCTCGCGGGCGTTGCGCACGTGGCTGGCGTCTGCATGGGTTCCCGATGGTGCTCGACGGCGTCCCTGCCCATGGTGAGCCCCGAGTGCTACATATGCGGCGGGAGGGCGGGTGGGAGAGAGTGATACGGCCGTCCTTCGGGGGGGTAGCTTGACCATTGTTGTTTCATCATATGCGCCCCCTCCCCCGCCAGACCGGCGACAAACCCGGGACCACGCCAACACTCCCCCGCCATCCTTGTCCAAAAACAAAGCAATGTGCATTCTGCACCAAAGCTTGCATCGTCCGTGGACGCCGCGCGATCACTCTGCACGGGTCGTTTGATGGGGGCGGCGGGGGGGGGGAGCGGCATATGGCCTGCTGGGAGCAACGCCCCCCCCCCCCCCCCCCCCCCCGCACCATCCTCTGCAGACAACGGCACACAGCGCATCGAGTGCTCACCAGAATCTGGATCAGGCGCGGGCGCCCCTCGATCCCTCGGCAGGGACGGCGGGGGGGAGCGCCGGCACGTTGCTTGTGTTGTGCAATACCAGCACCCCCCAACCATCCACTGCAAAAACAATACACCGTTCGTTTTTATGTATTCGAAAGTTCTTTGATTTTGTGGGGGGCCAAGATCCTTTCATTTCTAATTGTTCTATCCTGGGCCCCTTCTTGGCCACTAGGGGGCCAGGAACAATTAGAAACGAGCACAACTAGAAACGAGCACGATTAGAAATGAACGACGTGTACAGTCGGGCCGCTGAAGAAGGAACCCGCTTCGATGGGGAGGGGCTCAGTGCTGCTCAGTTGTTGCGCAGTTGTTCTCAGGTCGCCCTCGGGTGTTCGAAGGGACATCAAAGTTTATCTTATTGAGAAAAGGGACCTCGGTCCTGATTCGGGGTTCCTTATGACAGCCTTTCGACTGTACGAGGTGCTCTTGTGCCACAATCTGGATCATGCGTTAAGTCGGGCCTGTCCCTCGACAGGAGGAATATTCAAAGATAGTCAAAACATAGTCTGGAGACGATTATGGGACTATGCTTGGTCATGTTTGGAATTTGTTTTGCGTATGTTTACTTGTTCGTCCAAACTCCACCTGTAGGGTGTAAATCATGCGCCGTCCGCCCCGCGATCACTCGGCATCTGTGCCTGGCAGGGGCGGCGAGGGGCGAGCGGCATGCCGCCTGCTGCGCGCGCAGGCCCGCCATCCGCCTCGACAGGAAAATCCAGAGATTTTGGCCGACTGCCTGCCGTGTGCAGTCCGCTTGTTCTCTTGCCCGAAAACACATGTTTCCAAAAAGGAGCATCCAGAGTTCACTCTGCCAAGGACGGCGGGGGGGGGAGGCGGCAGACTGCCGGCCGTGTGCAGTCCGCTGGTCCTCTTCCCCCCCCCTTAAAAAATGATAAAGGAACGTCCAGAGCTCACTCTGCCAAGGAAGGCGGGGGGGGGGAGGCGGCAGATTGCCTGCCGTGTGCAGTCCGCCTGTCCTCTTGCCCAAAAAGCATTGTTTTCGAAAAGGAACATTTAGAGTTCACTCTGCCACGGACGGCGTGGGGGCGCGGCAGACTGCCTGCCGTGTGCAGTCCGCCCGTCCTCTTGCCAAAACAAAACAATAGTTGTTTTATCGGATCATCCAGAGTTCACTCTGCCGAGGACGGCGGTGGGGGGGGGGAGCGGCAGACTGCCGGCCGTGTGCACTCGGTTTGTCTTCTAGCCCAAAAAAACATTCTTGCAAAAAGGAACAGCCAGAGCTCACTCTGCCAAGTACGGCGGGGGTGGGAGGCGGCAGACTGCCTGCCGTGTGCAGTCCGCTTGTCCTCTTGCCCGAAAACACATGTTTCCAAAAAGGAGCATCCAGAGTTCACTCTGCCAAGGACGGCGGGTAGGGGAGGCGGCAGACTGCTTGCCGTGTGCAGTCCGCTTGTCCTCTTGCCCCCAAAAAACAGTCTTCAAAACAAGGAAGATCCAGGGTTCACTCTGCCAAGGGCGGCGGGGGGGAGGGGACAGACTGCCTGCCGTGTGCAGTCCGATTGCCCTCTTGTTCCCAAAAAACATTTAAAACTAAAGGAACATCCAGAGTTCATTCTGCCAAGCACGGTGGGGCGAGAGGGCGAGAGTGGGGAGGCGGCAGACTGCCTGCTGTGTGCAGTCCGCTTGTCCTCTTGCCCCAAAAAACATTTCCCGAAAAGGAGCATCCAGAGTTCACTCTGCCAAGGACGGCGGGGGGGGAGGCGGCAAACTGCCTGCAGTGTGCAGTCCGCTTGTCCTCTTGCCCCCAAAAAAACAGTCTTCAAAACAAGGAAGATCCAGGGTTCACTCTGCCAAGGGCGGCGGGGGGGAGGGGACAGACTGCCTGCCGCGTGCAGTCCGATTGCCCTCTTGTTCCCAAAAAACATTTAAAATAAAAGGAACATCCAGAGTTCATTCTGCCAAGCACGGTGGGGCGAGAGTGGGGAGGCGGCAGACTGCCTGCCGTGTGCAGTCCGCTTGTCCTCCTGCCCAAAAAAACATTTCCCGAAAAGGAACATCCAGAGCTCATTCTGCCAAGGACAGCGGGGGGGGAGGCGGCAAACTGTTCGCCGTGTGCAGTTCGCTTGTCCTCTTGCCAAAACAAAACCATGTTTAAAAGGAACCTCCAGAGTTCACTCTGCCAAGGACGGCGGGGGGGGAGGCGGCAGACTGCCGGCCGTGTGCAGTCCGCTTGTCCTCTTCCCCCCCCCTAAAAAAATGATAAAGGAACGTCCAGAGCTCACTCTGCTAAGGAAGGCGGGGGGGGGGAGGCGGCAGATTGCCTGCCGTGTGCAGTCCGCTTGTCCTCTAGCCCCAAAAAAACATTGTTTTCGAAAAGGAGCATCCAGAGCTCACTCTGCCAAGTACGGCGGGGGTGGGAGGCGGCAGACTGCCTGACGTGTGCAGTCCGCTTGTCCTCTTGCCCAAAAAACATGTTTCCAAAAAGGAGCCTTCAGAGTTCACTCTGCCAAGGACGGCGGGGGGGAAGGCGGCAGACTGCCTGCCGTGTGCAGTCCGCTTGTCCTCTTGCCCAAAAAACATTGTTTTCGAAAAAGGAGCATCCAGAGTTCACTCTGCCAAGGACGGCGGGGGGGGGGGAGGCGGCAGACTGCTTGCCGTGTGCAGTCCGCTTGTCCTCTTGCCCCCAAAAAACAGTCTTCAAAACAAGGAAGATCCAGGGTTCACTCTGCCAAGGGCGGCGGGGGGGAGGGGACAGACTGCCTGCCGTGTGCAGTCCGATTGCCCTCTTGTTCCCAAAAAACATTTAAAACTAAAGGAACATCCAGAGTTCATTCTGCCAAGCACGGTGGGGCGAGAGTGGGGAGGCGGCAGACTGCCTGCCGTGTGCAGTCCGCTTGTCCTCCTGCCCCAAAAAAACATTTCCCGAAAAGGAACATCCAGAGTTCATTCTGCCAAGGACAGCGGGGGGGGGAGGCGGCAGACTGCTCGCCGTGTGCAGTTCGCTGGTTCTTGTCCCAAAAACCATGTTTAAAAGGAACCTCCAGAGGTCACTCTGCCAAGGACGGCGGGGGGGGAGGCGGCAGACTGCCGGCCGTGTGCAGTCCGCTTGTCCTCTTGCCCCAAAAAAACATGTTTAAAAAAAGGAGCATCCAGAGTTCACTCTGCCAAGGACGGCGGGGGGGGGAGGCGGCAGACTGCCGGCCGTGTGCAGTCCGCTTGTCCTCTTGCCCCCAAAAAGCAGTCTTCAAAACAAGGAAGATCCAGGGTTCACTCTGCCAAGGGCGGCGGGGGGGGAGGGGACAGACTGCCTGCCGCGTGCAGTCCGATTGCCCTCTTGTTCCCAAGAAAACATTTAAGATAAAAGGAACATCCAGAGTTCATTCTGCCAAGCACGGTGGGGGGAGAGTGGGGAGGCGGCAGGCTGCCTGCCGTGTGCAGTCCGCTTGTCCTCCTGCCCAAAAAAACATTTTCCGAAAAGGAACATCCAGAGTTCACTCTGCCAAGGACGGCGGGGGGGGGAGGCGGCAGACTGCTCGCCGTGTGCAGTCCGCTGGTTCTCTTGTCCCAAAAACCATGTTTAAAAGGAACCTCCAGAGTTCACTCTGCCAAGGACGGCGGGGGGAGGCGGCAGACTGCCGGCCGTGTGCAGTCCGCTTGTCCTCTTGCCCAAAAACATTTTGAAACAAGGGTCATCCACAGTTCACTCTGCCAAGGGCGGCGGGGGGGTGGGCGGCAGGCTGCCTGCCGTGTGCAGTCCGCTTGTCTTTCTCGCCCCCCCCCCCCAAAAAAAAAGCAGCAACAAAAAAATGCAAAGTAATTGCGGATGCACAACCACACACACCACACACACACACAATACACACACAATGTTCGCAAACCCGCCGCCGTCACTTCGCATTGGTTCGTAACAGGGATGGTGGGGCGGTCGACCCATTGCCCAATGTGGCGCACCTGGTGCGTGTGGCGCAGCTGGCATGTGCGGCGCACCTCGCAGGCATCGCGCACCTGGTTGGCGTCTGCATTGGATCCCGATGGTTGTCGGTGGCGGCCCCTGCCTGCGCTGAGACTCGGGTGCCACTTAAGTAGTGGGAGGGCGGGTGGGAGTGAGCAATACGGCTTCCGAAGGATGTTCAAATATGTTGGTTTGCTCGCCCGTTCGCTTCCAATGGCCATCCGAGGCCTGAAGATAGTTCCAAGAGGACCAAAGAGAGACCTAGGAGAGGCCGAAGAGGGCTCCAAGAAGGCCCTGCAATCACCCAAGAGCGCCCCAAGAGGGCCCGAAGAGACGATTTTAGGGCCCTCGAAGGGCAGCGCTAATTAAGGACCCCTCTTCTTTGATCGACGTCCTCCAAGATGGTCCCAAGAAGGCCTAAAATGCTCCCAAGAGGGTCCCCCAAAACCCCCAAAAGGATTTTCAAGAGGCCCCAAGAGGCCCAAGAGATGCCCCAAGAGGCGCCACGAGTGCCCCCAAGGCAACCCAAGAGGCCACCCAGAGCCCCCCTTATGAGACATCCCAAACGACTCCGAGGGGGACCCAAGAGGCCTCTATAGTTCACTGCGGCTCCCCGAGGTGTCCACACGCTGCCACGCTCCCCCCGAGAAGGCCAGCTCCCCCGGGCATCGTTCCTGGATGGGCCTTGCCCTCCTTCGTCGGGAACTGGAGCACATACATCACCAGTGGCGGGCTGTTGCTCAACCCCAGGAACGCTCTTGCACGCATTTGGCGTGTCTGCCCACGCGACCAGACGGACGCAAGGCTTAGTGGTGGTGGTGGTGGTGGGCTGTTGTTCAATCCCAGGAGGTTCTGGGGGTCGGGGACGGCGTCGGGGTGGTGCGGTGCATACTCGTTTCCCCGCTTCCTTGCGGAAGCAGCAGAACATGCATACACCAGGATGCCGCCTACACAAGTAATCCGCTTTCCTGTGCGCATCGGTGTATAAAGAGCATCGGTGTATACAGCATCGCATGGCCACCGGGGCCGCGCCGACCGTGGCGGGCGGCGGCCCGCGCGCGGACAAAGACGGGCGAGCCTCGGACGCGCGGCGGCAACCGCTGGGGGGCGGGCAGAGGCGGGGAGCCGAAGGGAGGGCGGCCCAGAGCCGCGGCGAGGGGGCGCTGCCCAGGCCCGTCAGGTGCGGGTGGGGGGGGGGGGCAGGGGCAGAGGGCGGCGAGCCGAAGTGCGGGACCGGAAGGAGCGTCGGTGTACAGAAAGTTCGGTGCCTCACTTCGGCTCTCGAGGGAGCGCTGCGGCCGCACTTCTCTCTTGCGGGGCCCGCGCCCGCCGGGGCGGGCCCCGGGCCGCCTCCGCCAGAGGGGTGCGCAGCCGCGTGCGGGGCCCCCCCTGGCAGGTCCTGAACGGGCACCTGCTGCGCTCCGAGCCGGGCGCGCGGCCGTGCGCCGAGTGGAGCCCCAGGCAGCTCCAGGCGTTCATGGCCGTGGTCGCGGAGCACAGGGACGAGGAGCTGCAGGCAGTCTACCGCGACGGGGCCGACCGCCGCCGGCTGGAGCACGAGGGGGCCGTGGATCGCCGCGGGCACTGGGAGCGGCTGAACGCCATCGCGGACGCGGGCCCGCACCTGCTGGACCCCCTGCGGGAGGCACTGTGCCGCCAGGCGGTCATGTGGTGGACGCACCACGTGACCCACGAGAAGCGCCAGGAGCTCCGCGGGGGCGGCAACCTCACCGTGCCTCTGCTGCCCGAAGGCCCCAAGATGCCCTGCGAGGCCAGGGCCGGCGCGGACGAGGGCCACCTCTGCGCGCACGTCAACGAGGCGAACTCCTGCGACTGGTGCCACTCGTCGCAGAAGGACCACGACGCAGGGGTCCCAGGTACCTCTGTGCCAGACGCGCTCAAGAAGACGGACGGTCCTGACGACGGCAACCCGAAGGGCTGGGATCGCTTGCGCCGTTGCGACCAGGACCAGATGCCGCGGTGCAAGCTGTGTGAAGGGGTCGGTGGCCGCGCCTGGTCGGACAAGAACGAGGATATCGACCTCACGCAGTGCGAGGTGGTTGCCGAGGCCAAGGACGTGAACATGTCCGAGGTGGCCCCGCCGCTCTACCCTAAGAGGTTCACCTCCAAGCGCAAGGACGGTAAGCAGGGGGGGTACTCGGACACGCTGATCGGATGGAAGACGGACCCTTTCTGCTTCGGCTTCTTTCCGCAGAACGACTCGATCCAGCCGCTGTGTTACCGCAGCGAGGACTCGTACGTCAAGTACTACGACATCGAAAGGGAGGCGTCCCGCATAGAGTACACTATCCACAACGAGGCGCTTGGCCCTTCCCCGAACACGACCGCCATAATCTTGCAGGTGAACGATCGGATGTGGATCCAGAACCACCTGTGGTTCGTCGACCAATGCATCTGTGCAGACCCCTCTGGCCACCACTGCACGAACCCGCCGTGCCACACATACATCCACCACTGGGACACGTTCAAGACTGCTCAGTACCTCGGCCGCGAGAAGATCAACGTGGAGTGGATCCAGGATCACGGCACTGGAAAGTCCGGCAAGGAGATGACGTTGGACCATTTCATCTTGTGGTCGCACCATGTCTGGACTGACCCAGTGTCCCGCCGCATCGTCCGTGCTTGGAAGCCTTTCAACGGCCTGCAGGTCTACGACCCGGAGGCATGGAACGAGACCATTGACGGTGACCCCGACGTTCTTTTCGAGAACCCTCCGCCGATGTGCAAGAAGGGCGGGGCCAAGATCAGGATCAATTGCGACGACGATGGGCACTACCACCCGAAGAAGTCCGAGGGCCTCGAGCTGTTCGAGGAGATGCTCCTGAGTCGTCCGCAGCAGGACTTGGTCGTGTGAGCCCCGCCGCACATGGTCCACATGCGCAAAGGGCGGTGGCGCAAAGGAGATGGCCTCCTGATAAGGCGGGGAGGGCTCTTACAATACAAGGCAGGTGCATTCACAGAAGGACCCTGAGGCTTCCAGGAAGGTGTTCTTGGATTTTGGAGGTGCAGTGCGTGCTCCTAGGCTTCCCCCCAATTACCTTCCTGGGAGGCCCCCTCCTTCTTAGAAGGCCGCAGCCCTCGCGCCACACCAGTGAGCTTGCCACCAGCTTCCGCACTGCGAGCTTTGGCGCACTTTTTCTCCACCGGCGCTGCCCTCGCCATTCGTCTCCGAGCCTCCCACCTCTCCCCTTGTCCCCCTCCCCCCCCCCTCCAGACGTCTTCTCCAGAGGTCTCCAGTTGTCTCCAGGGCCTCAGCCCTCCAGAGGCCCAAGAAGGGCTTTAGCAACGTCACTTCCAAAAGCCTCCCTCCTCCCTCCTTAGGGCCTGTGCATATCCATGCCGCCCACATGGGGCCGGAGCAGATGGGGTCGGAGGATCGCGCTGCATCCGGCGATGCGACGTGATCGGGAGCCTGATCATATCCACCAATGCGTCCCCGATACATCGAGGAGGCAGTGCTCGAGGAACAAAATATGACATATACAAAAGCTATTAGAGGTCCGTGCTGATTTCTTGGATCGGCGCTGGACCCCCCTATAGCGCGACAGGGAAGGAGCCGGAGGCGCCGCCAGGGGGCTCCAGCGCCGATTTGAGAAATCCACACGGACTTCCGACAGTTGATTATCATGTTTTTGTTGTTCCTCGAAGTGTGACCGGAGGGGAGGTGAGAAGGAAAAGGCCTTCTCAGAAGGCAGCGGGGCTTCTCGGAAACCCTCCAGCCTTCTCAGAAGCCTTCTGCGTCTTCGGGGAAGGCTCAGAAGTCATGTCAGAAGGCCCAGGAGTTTCCGAGCCTTCTGAGAAGGCCCGCCCCTTCTCACTTCCCCCCTCGGACGGGGCTAGGACGAGGATGAATCTGTCCCAGAGCGTTCCGGAACGCTCTCAGAGCGTCCTGGCATGCTCTGAGAAGGCCGCGGCGCACGCGAGATCCTCCAAAGCCGCCAGATCTCCGAAGTTCTCGATTTATCCTCATCCGAGTTTACACGCCAGTCGTTGAAAGCAGGTATTTTGGAATGCCCGAATCCTAATCTGCTTTAGGCGCCTTCCTACTTCAAGGGTCGAGCGGTTTTCCTTCTTGCCTCCTCTTCAGGGGACGGGCGGGAGTCCAATCTAATTCCAACGCCTTCCTACTTCATGCTTCTACCCACTTCTTCCGACTGGCGTGCAGCCTCGTCCTGGCTTTGCCTTACCTTGAGATCCGGCGTCTCGAACAAAAATGAAACATCGTGACAAATCACGACTGGATCCCCTCTCCCCCATGTTTCTGCGCCATGCTTATCGAGCCGGATCGATCTGCGAGGGTCCAGGGGCCCACAATTGGGCGAACACGCCCGCTTGAAAAAAATTGAGTCGCCAGGATCTCAGGGTGCACCCAGGCTTTCTTCGAAGAAAAAAACGCCCTAAAGATGAACTTTTGGCGCTCCGCGCGGACTTCTTGGATCTGCGCGAGCCCCCCCCCGGCGGCGCCTCCGGCGCCGCCCCTGGCGCGCTCCGCGCGCCAGGGAGGGTCCAGCGCAGATCCAAGAAATCCGCGCGGAATGCCAAGTTTATGTTTATGGCCTTGTTTCTTCTTCTATCTCCGCCGAGAAGTGTATCACCACCCACCAAACCACCCCAAATCACCCCGAAGGCCTCAACTTGCCCTCCATTTCCAGTGGGGGGGGGTCGGGGAACATTGAGAAAACACACATGGCACCCGTACCACCTCACCACCACCCGAAGTTCGGGTCTTCGGTTTGACTTGGGGTGGTCTGGTAGATAGTCTGGCCTTCCAGAGAGCTATTTTTTTAGCACGGGAGGCCTAGGGCGAAACATCCTAAAACCAAGACGCAGAATAGCTCTGGGATGGGTCTGCGAGTCCGGTGCTGTTTTTGTTTGGCCCTCCTGGAAAAGGTCAGGGCAGGCATACACGTGGCTCATTTCTCATTCCTTCTGTCCTGGGCCTCTTCCTGGCCACCAGGGGGCCAGGACCACTTAGCAACGAGCACGATTAGAGAGATGAGCACGATTAGAAAGGAACGACGTGTCGTCCGTGTGACCCTCCGACCGCCGCTGCCCCGGCCCTGCCGGGGGGCGGCCCCGAGCCCGCGCGCTGCGCAGCGCGCGCGGGCGCGCCCTCTCGGCGCCCTCGCCGCCGCGGCAGCGCTCGCGTCGCTGCCGCGGCCTCCCCGGCCGAGTGCCGCGCGCGCGGGCGCGCGGACCGGCCACGGATCTGTCGGGCGCGTCCCTTTTACAGGGGGATTCTCAACGAAAAATAAGACATACCACCAAAATACCCCAGAAGGATCGGAAAATACCCCGAAAATAGCCCCCAGACATTTTGTTTTGTTATTTTGGGGGGTAATCTTTTTTTTTCGTCGAAAATCCCCCCGTAGGGGGACAGGCCCGACTTCAGGCCACGGGCTTCGGCCCCGTGCTCGGGGGTTGTGAGCCCTGCTTCGACTGCCCTCCAGTCGGGCCCGTCCCTCTGCCGGAGGAAGACTCAGACGCAGAAAACAACATAATTGCTCTGGGATTTTGGTTGGACTGTCTTTTGACCATTTGGGGGGGTATTATCCTGGGTCTTCAAGGATCTTTCTTATTTTAATATAGACACATATATATATATATATTCAAGACAAAAAAGATGCATTTACATATATATATTTTAAATCCAAAATCCGCCTGTAGGGGGACATGCCCGACTTGAGCTTCGCTCCCATTCTCGGGTGCTGTGAGCCCTGCTTCGACTGCGCGTAAGAGTGACCTTTCACCGGAGTGACCCTTGGGGTGCGGGCCCACGGGGGTCCCCCGATCGCCGGACGCGATGCGGCAGTTGCGTCCCGCGCGCTTCGTGTTCGGTCCCCCCCGCGGGCCCCAAGAAGCCGCGCACCAAAAGTCACTCTTTCCCAGGGTCACTCTTGCGTGTAGTCGACTGCTCCCGGGTGTTGTTAGCCATGAGATCCTCTCGGAATCTCGGAAAGGGGGGGGGCCCTGGGGGGTGTGAGTTCGAACGGTTTTGCACCGCGCCGCCCAAAGCAGATGCCCACCAGCCGCCGGCAGCTCCTGGCAGTTGCCGATGGGTGAGGCATGCGGGGGGCGGGCATCTGTTTGCGGCAGTTCGGTGCACCAGCGGATCGAACTCATGCCCCCCCTCAGGGTCACCGCCCCTTTGGTGGATCCCGATCCTCACAGATCGATGCGGCTCGAAAAATGGAGCAGAAGGATGGGGTCAGGGGCTCCGGGTGTGACATTGTAGGATGTTGCAAATGTTTCGCTACGTGGGATCTCAGGGCAAGTGCCCCCGGCCCAAGGTGCCCCCAGAATTTCCAAGGAGGCCCCCACGGCCTCCAGAGCACCCCTCACGAGGCCCCCACGGCCTCCGCTTCTTCACGATGCTGGGATGTTTCGGGGACGTCGGATCTCGGGGTTGGGGCGGCGGAGCTGCAGCCGGGCTGCATTCACAAGGAGCGCTACCAGAAGGAGCGGACGAAGCCAACCTTCGGCGGCCAAGCGCGGCCGTCGCCGGGGCCCCAAGAGCTCCAACACGGAGCGAAAAGCGGGGGGCAGCCTGGGCCAGGGGCACGGTCAGCAACCCCCGATATTCGGCGACTGCGAAGGGTATGGTTATAAGCCGGGGTGAGGTTTGCGAGCGGCGCCTCGGGGACCTTAGGAGGCACGACGCTGTCCTCGTCGGGCCTCCTCGGGCTGGGGCGGAGGGCGTTGTCGAGGTCCCCGCCGCCCGCCCCTCAGGGTGCCCTTCAGTCGGGCCTGTCCCTCTACAGGAGGAATATGCAGGAACAGCTACAAAAAAGGCTGGGGACGATGTTGCGATTGTTTTTGAATCATTTAGATCAAATTTGGAAGGTGATATTTCTTTTAAAATCCGCCCGACCTAAGGGTACCCCCAAGCGTGCCGGTTGCAAACCACGCCCTTCTGCAAGCCACACCCGTCGGAGTCGCCGACCTAGTTGTGCTCCTGCCGACGGCGAGGGCCACGACGGAGGAGGAAACAAAAAATCACCCCGGCGAAGGACCCAACCTCCTCCTCCCTCCTCCTCCTCCTCCTCCTCCTCCTCCTCCTCCTCCTCCTCCTCCTCTCTCCTCTCCTCCCTCCTCCTCTCCTCCCTCCTACTCCTCCTCCTCCTCTTCTTCCTCCTCCCCCTCCCCCTCCCCTCTTCTTCCTCCCCTCTCTTCCTCGCCTCCTCCTCCTCCTCCTCCTCCTCCTCTCCTCCTCTCCTCCCCGTCTGCTCCTCCTCCTCCTCCTCCTCCTCCTCCTCCTTCCCTGCCTCCTCCTCCTCCTCTCCTCCTCCACTCCTCTCCTCCTCTCCTCCTCCTCCTTCTCCCTCCCCTCTCCTCCTCCTCCTCCTCCCCTCCTCCTCCTCCTCCTCCTCCTCCTCCTCCTCCTCCTCCTCCTCCTCCTCCTCCCCCTCCTCCCCTCCTCCTCTCCTCCTCTCCTCCTCCTCCTCCTCTCCTCATCCTCCTCCTCCTCTCTCCTCCTCCTCCTCTCCTCCTCCTCCTCCTCCTCCTCCCCCATCCTCCCCCCTCCCTCACCCCTCTCCCCCTACCTCCTCCTCCTCCTCCTCCTCCTCCTCCTCCTCCTCCTCCTCCTCCTCCTCCTTCCTCCTCCTCCCCTCCTCCTCCTCCTCCTCCTCCTCCTCGTCCCTCGTCCCGTCCTCGTCCTCGTGTCGTCCTCCTCCTCTCCTCCTCCGCCTCCTCCTCCCTCCTCCTCCTCCTCCTCCTCCTCCTCCTCCTCCTCCTCCTCCCACTCCTCCCCCTCCTCCCCCTCCCCCCTCCCTCCCCCTTCCCCTCCCCCTCCCCAGGGGGCACCGCAGGACCGCAGGGCAGGACGGAGAAGGGGGGGCCCCGACGGGGCCGACGAGCGTGTGCGGGGTGTGCCAACATGGGCGGTTGCCCGACCGCGTGTTCGTCCGCCCTCGCCGGGGACGGAAGTGTGCCACAAAAGGCGGCGGTGCCGGCGTGCGGGCGCTGGCGCTGGCGCCCGTGGGTGGGGCTCCCTCACGGGGCCACGAGGCGCGACCAGCCCCTCCTTCCCACTCCCTCATCCATCCATCCATCCATCCACCCTCTCCTCCCCCTCCTCACTCCTTTGCACGGTGCGGCCGTCCCCCTCTTTGCTGCCGCACTTCCCTGATCACCTCAACTCGCCTGGACATCGTTTCTGGATGGGCCGGTGGGGATACTTTTTGGTCGGCGGCTCCAGGGCGAAGGACATGGAGCGGGTCAACGTCTGGGGCGCGAAACGAAGATAATTGGCCGCAGTGGCGTATGCACATGCCAGGGACAAAATGACCCTCATTGAGACGCCAGCGGCGTCGGCAGGTGACCGGCACAGACATCCCAGCAGGTGGGGACGCCAAGGCGCGGCGACCGGCGGCGGCACGGAGGGGAGAAGTCGCCCTTTCGGCGCCAAGCTCCAGCCGAACCCGGGTGGGGACACGCGAAGCGTGGCTGGTGGGGCTGGGGCGGACGACGGAGGCCTGCAGCTGGTCTCGGCCCCGCCGCCCGACTGCCTCGCTGCACGGGCGCCTCGGGCGCGGGCCAGGGCGGTGGCACGCAGCGGATGCGCTCCCGCCCGCACCCCTTGCCAACCCCCACCCAGAGGCGCCTGCCGACGACGAGGGCCGCGGAGAGGAAAGGAAGCCCGACCTGTCCGAGAGCAGTGGGCGCCTCTCGGGAGGCCCAGGGGCGGTCCCGGGAGCTCCCGAGGGCTCCCCCTCCGTGCACTGCCCGGGCGCCTGGGCTCCGTCCCGAGCATGGCCCCCGGAGGAGGAGGAGGAGGAGGAGGAGGAGGAGGAGGAGGAGGAGGAGGAGGAAGAGGAGGAGGAG